TTGTCTTTTTGTCTTTTACATACCAGACGATGGGTGAAGTCCAAAATAAGCCAAAAGAAGTACAGTATGCACCATCGTCAGAATCCTTCGAGGTCTATCTCAGCCTGAATATGTTTTAACAATACTTCCTCCCAGTTTTTGCTGTTGAGATGATTAGAAATTGACAGTTACGGGATTGACCGTCAGGCTTCAGTGAGTTGCCACAAACAAGTCTCCGCTGTTGGTAGTGCACATACTCCGTGTCATCCTGATTTAATATACAGTATATAGGAGTGGATGGGTGGAGGAAATATCGGTGGAAACTGTAGATAGCAGTGGGAATCCTTTTCTCGAGTTCGTTAGTCATTGAGAATAAAGAGGCGGCTGCTTGTTAGTAAAAGGGAAGATTGTGAAGTGTACATGGAAATAATGGAGTTCATGAAGGTAATGTGGAAAAGAGTGGCTATTACTTAAATTTATTAAGTGTCCGTCAGAATGTATTTTGTTTGTGAAGGCCAAATCACTTATCCGCCAACTGTTATGCTTAGTAAAGTTGCGAGCGAAAGAACTGTGCTTTGTCTCTGTTCTTGGTGATGAACTAGGCAGTGGTCGCTGTTGCAAATTGAAGAAAAAGAGAGGTTTCGGAGGAACGTCGGTAACACCACATATACACGGTGCCAAATCCCAGAAGACTGCTTTCTTCATAGTCACCGCCGTGAAAGCCTCAAATCTTACAAATTTTATTAAGTTTGTTTGTAACAATTCATTGTTTAAATGTCAGAGGATGTATGTTAATTATTGTAAAGAATGATAACCAATGTAATTTTCGCTGGAGGATATTCAAATATTGAAAATAACTCGGGGAGTCATAAAGTGGCTAATGAGCTCAGGTTGGGAACCGGTGTATTTAAAAAACACACACCATATCAGAAGCGAGTAAGGATGTTGATCTAGATATAAATGCAAATGAAAGTGAGTATATATGTGTTCTTGTTCTTTTACCAAAGAGAAGGCAAAACTGTTACATGATGGTAGGTAGGAGATCGTTTGAAAATGTTACAAAATTAAAACATTTAAGGATGTTTCCTGAAAGCTGAGTAGCTGAATGATTGTCAGGTCCCCAAAAAGATTCTTCCCCATAGAGTTATTTATTTAGTAATCCATATAATAGATGCGGACGTTCTATACAGAAAATTAAGTATTAAAATAACGGTCCTTAAGTTATACGTAAACAAAATATATGTAAATTTCCCATTTCTTCATTATGTATGTCGCTTAACTTTGGGAGACTTATGGTTTCTGGTATATAATATTTGAGCAGTTGCTAAAAGAAATATGCTATGCAATTTCTCTACATGTTAATTATTTTTATATTTACTTTTTGACTTTAGTATCCCGCTGTGTTATAACATCGAGGTTCTGGGGGCGTCGACACAACAACGAAATTAAATACATTTTAATAAGATGGATTAAAATCAATGAAAGAAACCAGCAGTTCGTGATTCTTCTATAATATAAATTATATTTCAATTGAAATATTGGTGCACACAGAAGAGGGCTTGATCATGTGTGGGGAGCCGCTCCGCCTCTGTAGTGTGTGGATACCTGCATTGTTCTCAATATTAACTGAGTTTAGCAAACTGCTGTCGCGCTCTGTAGGGAGGACTTGCAACCTAGGCAAACGTGGCGTGTGAGAGAAACGCAGTCAAGCAGACAGAGACGAGGTGTCGAAATTGTCGTTGTCTTATTCTTCTTCTTCTTCGACGTAATCATTTTCTTCCTTTTCGTCATCGCCAGGTGTATTAGAAAACATAAATTTCACAGAATTGTGTAAGGTGGAGTGACTAGGGTTAGGAAATTTATCGTTATAGAGTCCGAATGTTAATCGACACCAATATAAAGAACCCCACAACTGAATTTTATCCTCAACCAGTTCTAATTATTAAAATTTATTTATTTATGATCTATGAGTATTTCAGTATTGCTTTTCAACTTTACTTTACAGTATGCCATTAGGAAGGTCCAGGGAAATCAGGTGGGACTGAAATTAAACGAGACACATCAGCTGTTGGTCTATGCCGATGATATGAATCTACTGGGTGATAATATAGATACCATAAAGAAAAACACATAAGATTTAATTGACGCTAGTAAGGAGGATGGTCTAGAAGCAAACGCAGAGAAAAATAAGTACATGTTGCTCTCTCTTCGTCACAATATAGGGCAAAATCATGACATAAATGTAGCTAAAAGACGTGTCGAAAATGTGGCATAGTTCAAATAATTGGGAACGACAATAACAAATCAAAATTTTATTTGGGAGGAAATTAAGAGGAGACTGAATTCGTGTAATGCTTGCTAACATTCAGTCCAGAACCCTTTGTCTTCTCGTCTGCTGTTTAAAGACGTAAAAATTAAAATATATAAAATTACAATTTTGCCTGTGGTTCTGTATGGGAGTGAGACTTTGTTTGTGACATCAAAGAAGGAACATAGACTAAGGGTGTTTGAGAACAGAGTGCTGAGGAGATTTGTACCGAAGAGGGACGAAGTGATAGGAAATTGAGAAAACTGCATAACTGTGAACTTCACGGTTTTACACTTCTCCAAGTATAATTAGAATTATCAAGACAAGGAGGATGATATAGGCAGGATATGTAGCACGAATGGGGATAAGAGAATCGCGTATAGGATTATGATGGGAAAGCCAGAAGGCGGGAGAATAATATTACAATGAATCTTAGAGAGATGGAATGTGGTGATATCGACTAGATGTTCTGTCTCAGGATTGGGACCGGTGGAGGGCTCTTGTGAACACGGTCATGAACCTTCGGGTTCTATAAAATGCTGGTAATTCTTGGATAGCTGCACAACTAGCGTCTTCTCAATAAGGGCTGAGCTCCACGAAGCTAGTTCTGAACTTCTAGGTCTTCCAAGTNAAACTGCATAACTGTGAACTTCACGGTTTTACACTTCTCCAAGTATAATTAGAATTATCAAGACAAGGAGGATGATATAGGCAGGATATGTAGCACGAATGGGGATAAGAGGATCGCGCATAGGATTATGATGGGAAAGCCAGAAGGCGGGAGAATAATATTACAATGAATCTTAGAGCATCCAAATACTATGTAATTGTCCATCCTGATAGATGTTCCCGGAACAAAGCACTGAAATAAGAAACCGTTTCTTACTTGTGCCCATGAAATTTCTGCTGGTGAGAAGCAGAAGGAAGCAAATTTATCAGGAAGAGTAAATGGCCTACGAGTGTATGGGAAATGTAGAGATTTTTAAAAATAGAAGGGAATGTAATCAATATAAAGCAATAATAAGGTGGAGAAAATTACACAGTGGGGAACTTTATAATTTTTACCCTTCATTAAATATTGCAAGGCAGGAGAATTAAATTGGCTGCTCATGTAGCATCTACTTTAGTGCAGATAACCAGATAAAAAAGTCTTATCAGGAAGCCTGAAAGTAAAATACTACTTCGAAGGCCTGGATATAGACGTAAGAATGATATTAAAATGGAACTTAATGAAATAATGTGTGAGGGTGTTGACTGGGTTCATCTGACTCAGCGGGCTTTAATGAGTACGGTAATGAAAATTCGGATTTCATAGAAAGCGTGGAGTATCTTGACCATATGAAGGACTGTCGGATTCTCGGTATGAATTCCACTCCATGGACTCAGTTGAATAGTGGAAGTGACAACCCTTTAGATCCACATGAAAATGGAACATGGCCGCTCAGTACATCTCGTCCTAACCAACTAGACGGAAACCATGAGATATGTAGAAAACTGTACTCTCTTCCTTGCCTTACTTCCTTAACGTAGTTATGCCTACTGAGGAATTAGCTCTGCATTCTCTGCAGTGTTCCTAAGTGGAACTATTTTTCATGAGAGAAGAAAACTATTTCAAAGAAACGACTTTCAGTGCGTGAAACTATGATAAAGCAAGCAATTACACAGAAAGGAACATGAGACATGTCCAACTTCTTGAAATTGGAGTCGAAGGTCGTAATTTGTGTGAGGAGGAAGCGAATATGTATGTATATAATGCTTCTTATCTCACGCGTGGTTATTCTCTTAGTAACGAATCGTGTTAACCCTCCGGATGCTACAACCAGATTCAAATCTCTATTCTAAAATTTTCGTAAAGACATATCAGCATTTCCTGTTCCGGTTTTTTATTTAACGAAACCATTCCCTGTAAATAGCTGTTTCTTTCGCAGTAAAACATATTTACCTTGCTGAAAACACACAGAGAGCTACTTAGCTGTAACTGGGGTCGCGCCATAGCTCAAGCGGTTTGTCGCTGGCTTCCCACCGCGGCGGCCCGGGTTCGATCCCGTGTCTGGTCAAGTGGGATTTGTGGTGGACAAAGTGGCCCTGGGCAGGTTTTCTCCGAGTACTTCGGTTTCCCCTGCCAATCTTCATCCCACAAATTGCTCCACAATCAACCTCACCTATCATCTGGGGCTGGTACAATAGGCCAGAAGTGGCCGCAGTACAAGGCACTCAGTCGCACCCCACTAGCAATAATAATTCAATCCAATTCATGTTTATTTACGTGCAATAACTTAACAGCACAGTGGCCAATTACAAAGTTAGGACGAGTATATACAGAAAAATAATT